TGGCTGTATACTTATGAGGTGCATTTGTCAGAATGCTATCCAAAATAGTTGATTTTTCAGGGTGGTTTAGTTATCAGTAGAGTTACATTTTGTTCAGTACAAATATCTTTCAGTCTATCTCATACTGGAATCAACCAATCCAGCTTAAGTGCATCCAATATTAATAATTCAGATTTAGCATAGTTAGACATCAAGTCAGACAATTTGCTAAGAGCAATTGGGAGGGTCGAGGGAGTGTGATAAACTCCCACTAACATAACCCTGCCTTACACAGGAAGTGGCACAGGTCCTAATCCAGGCACTTGTCATCTCCCGTCTGGATTACTGCAACTCGCTGTTGGCTGGGCTCCCTGCCTGTGCCATTAAACCCCTACAACTCATCCAGAATGCCGCAGCCCGTCTGGTGTTCAACCTTCCCAAGTTCTCTCACGTCACCCCCCTCCTCCGCACACTCCACTGGCTTCCAGTTGAAGCTCGCATCCGTTACAAGACCATGGTGCTTGCCTATGGAGCAGTGAGGGGAACGGCACCTCCGTACCTTCAGGCTCTGATCAGTCCCTACACCCAAACGAGGGCATTGCGTTCATCCACCTCTGGCCTGCTGGCTCCCCTTCCTCTGCGGAAGCATAGTTCCCGCTCAGCCCAGTCAAAACTGTTCGCTGCTCTGGCACCCCAATGGTGGAACAAGCTCCCTCACGACGCCAGGACAGCGGAGTCACTCACCACCTTCCGGAGACATTTGAAACCCCACCTCTTTAAGGAATACCTGGGATAGGATGAAGTAATCCTTCTACCCCCCCCCCCCACTGGCTATAGGGTGAATGCACCAATTTGTAAGTTGCTCTGGATAAGAGCGTCTGCTAAATGACTTAAATGTTAAATGTTATAAGTTTGGCATTATTACCAAGACCCACATTTAAGACCATAAATTCAAATTGCTTGGGGACAGACATGGTAATACACACAGCAACATTCAAGTTGTCCTTTATTATTATGGTGACACCCCAATCTGCCAGCTCTGTCATTATGTCCATTCAAAGACATTATGTCCATTCAAAGACACATCATAGTCTGGCACAGACTTTTTTAACCAAGTCTCAGTAATGATCAAAATGTATGCGTTAGTTTGAGGAACCAGTTAAAATGTTGTCTGGACCTATGGCAGTCTCTATGGGGGTGCCACAGGGTTCAATTCTTGGGCCGACTCTTTTCTCCGTGTATATCAATGATGTTGCTCTTGCTGCTGGTGACTCTCAGATCCACCTCTACGCAGACGACACCATTTTGTATACATCTGGCCCTTCATTGGACACTGTGTTAACAAACCTCCAAACGAGCTTCAATGCCATACAACACTCCTTCAGTAGCCTCCAACTGCTCTTAAACACTAGTAAAACTAAATGCATGCTCTTCAATCGAACGCTGCTGGCACCCGCCCACCCGACTAGAATCACTACTCTCGACGGGTCTGACCTAGAGTATGTGGACAACTACAAATACCTAGGTGTCTGGTTAGACTGTAAACTCTCCTTCCAGACTCACATTAAGCATATCCAATCCAAAGTATAATCTAGAATCAGCTTCCTATTTCGCAACAAAGCCTCCTTCACTCATGCTGCCAAACATTCCCTCGTAAAACTGACTATCCTACCGATCCTTGACTTCAGCGATGTCATTTACAAAATAGCCTCAAACACTCTACTCAGCAAATTGGATGTAGTCTATCACAGTGCCATCCGTTTTGTCACCAAAGCCCCATATACTACCCACCACTGTGACCTGTACGCTCTTTTTGGCTGGTCCTCACTACATATTCGTCGCCAAACCCACTGGCTCCAGGCCATCTATAAATCACTGCTAGGCAAATCCCCGCCTTATCTTAGCTCATTGGTCACCATAGCAACACCCACCCATAGTATGTGTTCCAGCAGGTATATCTCACTGGTCATCCCCAAAGCCAACACCTCCTTCGGCCGCCATTCCTTCCAGTTCTCTGCTGCCAATGACTGGAACGAATTGCAAAAATGTCTGAAGCTGGAGACTCTTATCTCCCTCACTAACTTTAAGCATATGTTGTCAGAGCACCTTACCGATCACTGCACCTGTACACAGCCCATCTGAAATTAGCCCACCCAACTACCTCATCCCCATATTGTTATTTATTTTGCTCATTTGCACCCCAGTATCTCTATTTGCACATCATCTCTTGCACATCTATCATTCCAGTGTTAATACTAATTGTAATTATTTTGCACTATGGCCTATTTATTGCCTTACCTCCATAACTTGCAACATTTGCACACAGTGTATATATATATTTTTTCTTCTGTTGTATTTTTGACTTTATGTTTTGTTTTACCTCATATGTAACTCTGTGTTGTTGTTTTTTATTGCACTGCTTTGCTTTATCTTGGCCAGGTTGCAGTTGTAAATGAGAACTTGTTCTCAACTGGCTCACCTGGTTAAATAAAGGTGAAATAAAAAAAATAAAAAAAATAAGATCAATTTTCTAAATCAAACTTCTGACATTTACATGAATCAGTCGAAGGCCACAGTTGCAGGATTTCAGATCAGACGGAGTCTCTAATACAAACATGCTATGTTCAGTAGGTAGCTCTCTATATGAAATAGCTATGGGGTTGGCTTGAAATGGAATAGATACAAGATTGCTTAGAACTGTGCCATTTGGTCTATGCCTCAAATGAGGATGTGGATTAATACAAGACTCGATGAGGGTTACCTGTTTCGGGCAAGGACTGATATCCCATCACTTTTTTAGTACCTTTTCAATGTTACCACTCTGCATCCAAGCTCCTCTCCTATTCGGGTGCAGGCTGTCCCATTTTACGAACTGCGGTCGCTCCCAAAACAGGCTGGTTAATTAGTGAATATTTCACAGCAGTAGCATTGGACACTCAATGGTTGGGCATTGAAATCCATTGGCTAGCCGTCGGTAGCCATTAAGGTTAATGCTAAAAAGCAGGCTAGCCACAGCTAGCAGCGCTAGGTTGAAGTTTAAAAAGTCCAGTAAGGTGGTGCGTTCTGTGAACAGCTAAAATAGGCAACAAAAACAAACAAAAAGAAGAGTGCTGGACCTGTACAGGCCGTCGGTCAATACACTCAAGTAAATCAAATATAAAATAGCCTATAATGAGGATAAAATAGCTCACAGACGAGTTTAACTACTCGCTCCATCACTCGCTCTAAACACAACTTGCTACACGTCATCCCAGAATGCACTCAGCAGTGCATCATAACAAGAGGCCGAATGAGTACATCATCGGCCTGTTGCAGCAGCGCAGCTGCAATGTGTATAATGTACACTCCGACAAGTTTGAGAAAGGGCTGAGAGGCATTAAGGTGACTCCACTAATGATATCAGCAGGTACAGGCCAGAGCAGCAGAGGCGTGAAGGAGAATGTTTCGGGTGAGAGGGAACATTTCCCATTCAATTATGTTGTGCTCTTTTGAATACTCTTTTCGCTCTCTCCCTCCCCCTCTCTCTCTCTCTCTCTCTCTCTCTCTCCTCTCTCCTCTCTCTCCTCTCCTCTCTCTCCTCTCTCTCTCTCTCTCTCTCTCTCTCTCTCTCTCCCCTCTCTCTCTCCCTCTCTCTATGTAGTACGTAGATGGAAACGTAGTCAAGTTTGTGTTTCATATCTCCTTCTCTCATCTGTATTATCACCTGCGTTCTCAGCCACCGTCATAGAAGCTTTTTCATTTCATGTTCCTTGTTTTTTTGCAGCTCAGATAATGTTATCTACAGTTAAGGTGTAAAGTTCAACATGCAATCTAATTGCCATTCATTTCTCCCACTTTGGTTTTTCAATACAAATCTGCTAGGGTATATGCAGTGCTGCATTTTAATCATGAGGAGTGGAGAAGAAAACAATGTTTGTTTTCCGGAGCTCTTGTTTCTCAGGAGATGGATGATCCAGAAGATTGGTGAAATTAAATGTATGTTGCATTCTGGGACACATTTTATTAATAGTGTTCCACACCGAATTATTCTTATTTTAGTGCGGCTTGGCAGATATACTTTGTAAGAGAGTAAAATCTATATAAAGCTAAGGTAGTCATAATAAAAAGCATTTCAAAACCTATTAGCTCTGGAGTTTTTTATTTTGATTACCAACCCAATAAAATTGTAGAGGAGGAAAGAGAGAGGGAGTGAGAGAGAATGGAGAGAGAGAAAGGAAATAACCTGTCTTTGTTGTGGATGAATAAGAACACTGTTGGAGTGCTTGAGGATATAAATGGCTGTGTTTCTTCTATTCTAATGCAGACACTTGAGAATATGGTCCCCGTCCCCTTCATGTTGAGTGTGTGTGTGTGCTTACAAGCTCGCTTGTCTGTGTGTTTGTGCCTCTGTCTGTGTGTGTGTGTGTTTGTGCCTCTGTCTGTGTGTGTGTGTATGTGTGTGTGTGTGTGTGTGTGTGTGTGTGTGTGTGTGTGTGTGTGTGTGTGTGTGTGCGTGCGTGTGCGTGTGTGTGTACGTGTGCGTGTGTATAGTATGACTCACCGTCCAGCCCCCTCCGTCTGTGGTCATGTCACAGTAGACCTGGAAGCCGGAAGGGTAGTGAGTGGGAAACACAGAGTAGATGCCATCCTCCCTCTGTCCATTAGCATACAGATCACCACAGTCACGAGGACGAGAGCCTAGAGAGAGATACATAGAAGAGAGAGAGAGAGAGAGAGAGAGAGAGAGAGAGGAGAAAAGAGGAGAGAGAGGATAAGAGAGAGGAGAGAGGAGAGACAGGGAGAGAGAGAGAAAGAGAGAGGAGAACGAGAGAGAGAGAGAGAATAAGATAGATAGAGAGAGAGGATAAGAGAGATAGAGATAACAGAAGAGATAAGCTTCATCTTTATATTTTTTTTCTCATTCCCTCTATCTGAAACAAAAAGCTCTCAGTCTGAATTCCAGCTGGTAAGTAAAACAAGTGGCTAAAACATTATGTAAGCATAAACAAAGAAAAATGACAGAGATGAGGAGAACATTCCACTCATACTGTGGGCATATCTAACCCTCCCTTGACAGAGAGGAAAAGGGAGATAATGGGGACTCCTTGGGTGGTGAGAGAGGAGAGAGAGAGAGGGAGAGGGAGAGAGAGGGGGAGGAGGTTTGAGTATAGTATTTGTGTGACAGAGACAGAGGAATCAGTAGGTTTGGGTATAGTATTTGTGTGACAGAGACAGAGGAATCAGTAGGTTTGGATATAGTATTTGTGTGACAGAGACAGAGGAATCAGTAGATTTGGGTATAGTATTTGTGTGACAGAGACAGAGGAATCAGTAGGTTTGGGTATAGTATTTGTGTGACAGAGACAGAGGAATCAGTAGGTTTGGGTATAGTATTTGTGTGACAGAGACAGAGGAATCAGTAGGTTTGGGTATAGTATTTGTGTGACAGAGACAGAGGAATCAGTAGGTTTGGGTATAGTATTTGTGTGACAGAGACAGAGGAATCAGTAGGTTTGGGTATAGTATTTGTGTGACAGAGACAGAGGAATCAGTTGGTTTGGGTATAGTATTTGTGTGACAAAGACATAGGAATCAGTAGGTTTGGGTATAGTATTTGTGTGACAGAGACAGAGGAATCAGTAGGTTTGGATATAGTATTTGTGTGACAGAGACAGAGGAATCAGTAGATTTGGGTATAGTATTTGTGTGACAGAGACAGAGGAATCAGTATGTTGGGGTATAGTATTTGTGTGACAGAGACAGAGGAATCAGTAGGTTTGGGTATAGTATTTGGGTGACAGAGACAGAGGAATCAGTAGGTTTGGGTATAGTATTTGTGTGACAGAGACAGAGGAATCAGTAGGTTTGGGTATAGTATTTGTGTGACAGAGACAGAGGAATCAGTAGGTTTGGGTATAGTATTTGTGTGACAGAGACAGAGGAATCAGTAGGTTTGGGTATATGTGCCACAGAGGGGTGTGGATATGTGTGGGTTCCTCTCTGCGCTCGTGGGAATTCTGTGATGATGAGCCCTGTATAGATTATGCATGCCAGCTTTCAGTGGGTCAAACCCCAGAATTTAAAGCAGCGAGAAAGCAGCCACAGGGCCCAAACACTACTTCTGGAGAGAAGACACTTTAGAGAGATCCCTCTTCTCTTAACAATCTCTCGCCCCTCGCCCCCCTCCACCCCCTCCTGTGTGTACAGACATTTGACAAATGTTTGCTCCCAAAATTGGGTTGTTTTTGGAGCTTGTTGTTTAGAGTTATGGCACAATTTGTCATGACGATCAACCTCAGATTCAGTAGCAGAATTGCTTTTCTACAGATAATCTATACTGAACAAAAATATAAACGGAACATGTAAAGTGTTGGTCCCATGTTTCATGAACTGAAATAAAAGATCCCCAAAATTTTCCATACGCACAAAAAGCTTATTTCTCACAAATTTGTTTACATCCCTGTTAGTTAGCATTTCTCCTTTGCCAAGTTAATCCATCCACATGACAGGTGTGGCATATGAAGAAGCTGATTACACAGCATGATCATTACACAGGTGCAACTTGTGCTGGGGACAATAAATAGCAATCACTGGCCACTTTAAGAAATGGAACACTAGTCACTTTAATAATGTTTACATATCTTGCATTACTCATCTCATATGTATATACTGTATTCTATAATATTCTACTGTATCTTAGTCCATGCCGCTCTGTCATTGGTCGTCCATATATGTAAATATTCTTAATTCCATTCCTTACTTAGATTTGTGTGTATTGGGTATATGTTGTGAAATTGTTAGATATTACTTGTTAGATATTACTGCACTGTCGGAGCTAGAAGCACAAGCATTTAGCTACACCCGCAATAACATCTGCTAAACACGTGTATGTGACAAATGACATTTGATTTGATTTGATAAAAGGCCACTCTAAAATGTGCAGTTTTGTCACACAACACAATGCAACAGATGTCTCATCTGTAACTCAGTAAAATGTTGCGTTTATATTTTAGTTCAGTGTATATATACAGTATGTGTGGCTCGGAAAGTATTCAGAAAGTATTCAGACCCCTTGACTTTTTCCACATTTTGTTACGTTACAGCCTTATTCTAAAATGGATTGAATTGTTTTTTACCCTCATCAATCTACACACAACACCCCATAATGACAAAGCAAAAACAGGATTTTAGAAATGTTTGCAAATTTAAAAAACTGAAATAATACATTTTCATAAGTATTCAGACCCTTTACTCAGTACATTGTTGAAGCACCTTTGGCAGCGATTACAGCCTCGAGTCTTCTTGGGTATGACGGAACAATCTTGGCACATCTGTATTTGGGGAGTTTCTCCCATTCATCTCTGCAGATCCTCTCATAGCAAAAGTTCTGAATACTTATGTAAATAAGGTATTTCTGTGGCTTTGTTATTATGGGGTATTGTGTATAGATTGATGAGGATTTTTTATTTATTTAATCCATTTTAGAATAAGGCTGTAACGTAACAAAATGTGGAAAATGAGGATGGTAGCACCTTAATTGGGGAGGATGGGCTCGTGGTAATGGCTGGAGCGGAATTAGTGGAATGGTATCCAATACATCAAACATATGGTTTCCATGTGTTTGATGCCATTCCATTCGCTCCGTTCTGGCCATTATTGTGAGCCGTCCTTCCCTCAGCAGCCTCCTGTGATTGAAATGGATACTGTATCATCCTAGTTCTATATATGCAGGTCCTCATCTGTGTGAAATATTTATGAAAACCTGGGGTCTGTGGCACACACGCACACACACACACACGTGTGTGTGATGCGTAAGTGTCAGCCGTTGTGTATTCCATGGCTGGCTGCAAAAGGAAGAATCTACTGGAAGGCTTCTGATGTAGGTTCGTCTAAAGCTTCTGGCAGGTCTGATATAGGTTTGTCTGAAGCTTCCCTCAGGTCTGATGTAGGTTCGCCTGAAGCTTCCCTCAGGGATCACACGTCAGGCTTTCTCAGGCTCTCACTCCGAGCAACACATCCCAATGGACACACCAATCACTACTCACATATTTACATACTGTACTGTATATTTTACACTCATAGATTCAACGCTAGCACCAAGGGTCATGAGGTAATATTAATCTCTGTTCCTGGCAGATAGAGATATAGTACACTATTGAATAACACAGAAAGAGAGATATACATTATGTATACAGGGACAGAAAAACACATATGACGACACAGAGACACACACACATAGACATATGCATGCATGGCAGACAGACAGCCAGGTAGGCAGCCAGCCAGCCAGCCAGCCAGACAGACAGACAGCCAGCCAGCCGGCCATATAGCCAGCCAGCCTGCTGGCCGGCCACATAGCCAGCCAGCCACCTAGCTAGCCAGCAAACCAGCCAGCCAGCCAGACACAGACAGACAGTTATCAGACTTACCATTGGCACAGCCTTTGAGACGAGCCCCTCTGACCGGTGCCCTCTGTAGGTCAGCCTTGACCCGAGCCTTCAGTCCCCCTGTCTCCTTCTGCATGGAGCTGAGAGCATCGCTCACAGTGTTCACCACCTTCACCATGTTGATCTGGCTCTCAGATAGCAGCTGCAATACACACAGTATTAACCATTAGTTAACCACTTTATCACAGTAGCTAAAACCAACAGAATCATCCACCTGGGCCTGTATTAAAAAGCATCTCAGAGTAGGATCAGGTTCCCCCTGTGAATATGTCCCTGTTCAGTCCAGTCTAAACCAACAACACTCCACCCTGCAGAACTACTGATAGGCCAAAGTCTGCAACTAAAGAAGGGCCCTGGAGTACCACAGTCCTGCTGGTTTTCAGTTTTTCCACTTGATGTTACTGATTGGCTGTAGATTGGCCCCCACCGTGGAGCAGCGGACCAGACCTGTGTACCTCTGATATAAGCCAATATCCCCAGCATGCTGCCTGCTGATTGGTTTAGAGAAAAGAGCTAGAGCCCATTGGAGTGATAAATGAGGTTTCAGGAGAGAATAGCACAACAAATCTCTCTAACTGTTTCTGTTGTTACCTTCTAGCTCTTTACCTCTTTACTTTCTGCTCTGTTCTTTACCGCTGTACACATTACCTAAGTCATCCTGTGCTATTTCCCTACTTGGCCAGCAGCTATATGGCTGGGTGTTGGGTACAGACACACACACACACACACACACACACGCACACACACACACACATCTCTGCCCCTGCAAAAAGCCACAGATAAGTGGCTTAGACTCCTGTGATCTTTCCATTATGTCAGCTATAGCCAGGTGCGTTAACAGCATTAGAGTAGAGAAACTGGCCTCAATAACCACAACACACACACACGCACACACACACATACACACACACACCGGGCACCGCTGCAATCACGTTACACGGGCACAGGGCCTCTACACACACACCAAGGAGATGACCCATTTTACACTGCGGAGAGAGGGAGCACCGGAAAATTGGGTTTTGTATGTGATTTTGTATACACCATGTGTGTGTGTGTGTTTGTGTGTGTGTGTGAGAGAGAGAGAGTGCGTATTTTGAGTGAATGATTGGATGAGTCATCAGTCCCTTGATTTCAATGAGTTCTGTGTGTAAGAGTAAAGAGGGAGAGAGAAGGGGGGAGAGGGGGAGAGAGAGATGGAGCGAGAGAGATGGAGGGATGTAGAGGCCGGGAGGGAGAGAAGAGGGAGTGAGAGAGAGAGAGAGAGAGAGAGAGAGAGAGAGACTAGAGGGAGAGAGAGAGAGAGAGAGAGAGAGAGAGAGAGAGAGAGAGAAGGGTATATAGAGTGAGGTAGAGGGGGAGAGAGCTGTCGGCAGCCCAGACTGACATATCAATTTGGATCACAATATAATTAGTTCTCATTACAACCTTCTAAAGCTGCTTCACAATGGGCTGAGACACTACACTTAAGAGTGTGTGTGTGTGTGTGTGTGTGTGTGTGTGTGTGTGTGTGTGTGTGTGTGTGTAACAGAGAGAGAGAGTATGTTTAACAGAGTGAGTACTGTTCTCTATGCAGAGATGATATGAGATCAGTAGTCAGTGTGTTTAAAAGGTCATACTATCTGGAGGCCATCAAATTAGTGATTGTTTGAGGTTGAACTGTATCTACACAAAGTGACTCACGCATCCTAACTCTGCGATGGTCCATATCCCTGTCCAATGTGATACTTACTCCTCCCTCAGGGGCATTCTGGGACAGTTCCTTTCTGTGTCGCGAGGTGGAACCATTCTCCTGGGCCTCTCTGTGATGCATGGCTATTACTAACCGTGGCACAAGCGGCTCTGTGTCACCATATATCTTGTCCCTGGCTACAGGCAGCCCATAGACCAGACAGTCAGACTGACGTGTCAGGGAGGAACAGCATCTGTATGCACATAAACCACTGACCGGCCAGCCAGCACCAGCGTTAGACTTGGCTCCGAGAGGAAATAAATCATGCAGGGCCGTGGCACTGCTCTGCTAAGCCGCCCCCGTCGCCACATTCACTTAGCCCCCACTACACGCTCGCCGCTACAATCTTGGTCTCGCTCTTTACGCTCTTTCTCTTGCTCTCTCTCTCTCTTTCCCTTTCTCTCTCTATACATTGTCTATGGTTTCTCTCCCACATGCCCCTTTGCCCTTCCACTCTCCAAAATGCCGTTTTTGGTGGTGGTATAATTTCCCCATATTTTTTATTTATTTCTTTGTATACATTTTTTGTCATTGTTGTTCTGAACCCACCGCAAACCTACTGCTTGCAAGTTGTTGCTAAATTCTCATCTACAGTGCATTAGGAAAGTATTAAATTAAATGTTTTCCTCATCAATCTACACACAATACCCCATAATGACAAAGCGAAAACAGGTTCTTAGAAATGTTTGGAAATTAATTTTAAAAAGAAAAATTACATAAGTATTCAGACCCTTTGCTATGACACTCGAAATTGAGCTCAGGTGCATCCTGTTTCCATTGATCATCATTGAGATGTTGCTACAACTTGATTGGAGTCCACCTGTGGTAAATTCAATTGATTGGACATGATTTGGAAAGGCACACACCTGTCTATATAAGGTCCCACAGTTGACAGTGCATGTTAGAACAAAGACCAAGCCATGAGGTCGAAGGAATTGTTCGTAGAGCTCCGAGACAGGATTGTGCCGAGGCACAGATCTGGGGAAGGGTACCAAAACATTTCTGCAGCATTGAAGGTCCCCAAAAACACAGTGGGCTCATTCTTAAATAGAAGACATTTGAAACCACCAAGACTCTTCCTAGAGCTGGCCACCTGGCCAAACTGAGCAATCGGGGGACAAGGGCCTTGGTCAGGGAGGTGACCAAGAACCCGATGGCCACTCTTACAAAGCTCCAGAGTTCCTCTGTGAAGATGGGAGAACCTTCCAGAAGGACAACCATCTCTGCAGCACTCCACCAATCAGGCCTTTATGGTAGAGTGGCCAGACGGAAGCCTATCCTCAGTAAAAGGCACATGACAGCCTGCTTGGAGTTTGCCGAAAGGCAACTAAAGGACTCTCAGACCATGAGAAACAAGATTCTCTGGTCTGATGAAACCAAGATTGAACTATTTGGCCTGAATGCCAAGCGTCACGCCTGAAGGAAACCTGGCACCATCCCTACGGTGAAGCATGGTGGTGGCAGCATCATGCTGTGGGGATGTTTTTCAGCGGCAGAGACTGGGAACTTGTCAGGATCGAAGGAAATATGAACAGAGAAAGTACAGAGAGATCCTTGATGAAAAGATGCTCCAGAGCGCTCAGGACCTCAGACTGGGGCGAAGGTTCACCTTCCAACAGGACAACGACCCTAAGCACACAGCCAAGACAATGCAGGAGTGGCTTCGGGACAAGTCTGTCAAATGTCCTTGAGTGGCCCAGCCAGAGCCCGGACTTGAACCCAATCGAACATCTCTGGAGAGACCTGAAAATAGCTGTGCAGCGACGCTCCCCATCCAACCTGACAAAGCTTGAGAGGATCTGCAGAGAAGAATGGGAGAAACTCCCCAAATACAGGTGTGCCAAGCTTGTAGCGTCATACCCAAGAAGACTTGCAGCACTAGAATAATATTTGTTCCGTTCCTGCAGATCTTTTCCCTTCCTGGGTTAGCTAGTGTAAATGAGAAAGGGCCTCGGGTCTCCTAGCTCTGCTAGCTTCTGCCTGGCACACAGATATACCGTTTTCCTTATACAGTACTATAATGACTACTCTCATATCCCCTCACATCCCCTCTTCCTGCTAAAATAAAAGTGCTAGCTGGGAGCAACACATTCACAACTCAAAGCCCTTCGCTCCTGTATGTCTATTTTTAATCGTGGCTTTGCTGTACCCCTCTCCCACCCAACCGCTCCTCCTCCATCCGTTGCCTGTGTTCAGTGTTCCTGGTCTGGTTTGAACCTGGGCTTTGATATACGAGAAAGCCTTTCCAGCTCTGAACAGCCACAGGAACAGAAGAACCCTAGAACACCAAAGGCTTCGGGATGATTCTCTTCTTTCCTCCTATCTTGGTTTTAGTTCCTAGATAGCAACTAGCACCGGCTTCTAGAGCAGCTGCTCAGGGAAGAATCCTATCTCTCTTATTTATTTCTCGCTTTATTATTTATTATTTTGTTTCTTTCTCGGTGTGTTTCACCAATGAGGCAGGGTGAGATAAGAAGTAATGAGAAGGAGAGGGGAACAGAAAAGAACGAGAGAAGTACAGGAGGGTAGGCTTAGTGCAAACGTCTAAAGGAAGCTCAGTCAAACAAATTCAGGCATTCATTAGGAGAATATGAGACATGTGTCAGGTATTTCCCACCAGTATTGGTTAATAGGTTTTTTAGCTAGACAAGAACACACTCACACAGTCTCTTGTGCATCTCAAATGGCATCCTATTCCATATGTAGTGTACTACTTTTGACCATGGCCCATATGGCTCTGGTCAAAAGTAGTACACTACATAGGGAATAGGGTGCCATTTGGGACACAGCCTCTGTCTCTATACACTTTGCTGAACCCGAGTGTTTCGGTCTGTTACTGTAGTGGCCAGAGGGAGGACTCCAATTAACTCCACTGTGTGTGTGTTTGTGTGTGTGTGTGTGTGTGTGTGTGTGTGTGTGTGTGTGTGTGTGCATGTGCATGCGTGTGTGTGTGCGTGTATGTTTGTGTGTGTGTGCTTGTGAGTGTGTTTGTGTGTGTGTGCGTGTGTCTCCCTCACAGGTTTAGGTGATGATAAGCAGGCTTCAATGTCCTTGGTGTGTTAGGTACATGGGAGAGACTGTCAGTCAACACTCACTCTGTCTCATCCACTGTCTGAGCCTTGTCAAGCAGCCTCAGACACACACAAACATCAACTACTGTAAACCCTGTCTGTACTGAACTGTATACTATCTTACTTGTATGAGGCGTCCCTGCTCTGTCTGCAGTGTGTTCAGGTCCTGCCCCAGACTCCCCTGGCCTCGTCTCAGAGACTCGTAGTCCATCTTCAGCTGACCAGCGTGGGCCGACAGTTTGGTCACCTCCTCAGCTAGGTTGACCAGCAGCGCCCGGTCCTGACCTTTGACCGACTTCAGGTCGGTGTCGTGGTCACTCAGCGAGTGAAGCAGCGATGTCTGCACCCCCTCCAGGCGAAGGAAGTTCCCGTTGTAGTCGGGACAGTTGGGGTCGATGAAGATGTTGATGCGCGAGCCGTCACCCCTCTCCACTGTCACCAGGGCGTTGGCCTCGTCCGGATTGGTTGAGATGTGGGGCGGGCCGTCGGACATGGGCGGGGCCTGGTAGTGATTCATGAAGAGGATGGTGCCGGTTACCGTGACGGCCAGGAGGACGGCGACGAAGAGGAGGATGGTGCACAGGAGGTAGCTGCAGCTCATCCTCTACAGGTAGTGAGGGAAGGTAGGATGGAGGGAAGGACAAAAGAAAAGTGGAATGTTAAAGCAACAGACAGACATTTTTTTACATTCTGTAACTTATAATTGAAGATTAGTGCTATTTACAGGATTTGAATATTTTGAGGTATCATATTTCACAACCCGTCCTTTATCAAATAATGTTTGTTAGGAGCGATTTCTCTCTCCCATAGCTCATTAACCACCATACACTACTACTGCATCAAAACCCAACCCACTGTGTGTCTCTCTGGGGTATACACCCTGTTTTCTAGGGAGCCACTTTTTCATCACTGTGTTTATTCAAAGCCTCCTGGCACAGATGTGGACGTCATGGCTATGTGTGTATGTGGGAGGTGGGTGGGGTGTGTGTGTCTGTGTCTGTGTCTGTGTCTGTGTGTGTGTTCACTCTCAGTGTCTTTCTGCTGTGTTGGGAGTAGAGACACTTCTATACAGTAATTCTCTGTTTCATGAACACACACTCAGTACACATAAAGAGATGGCATATGCACCCAAACTCATTGGAGAGGAACAAAGCCCAGAGGCACATAACACAAATAATAGAGTCTGGGAGTAAGGAAAGAAAATGGGTGGGGACAGAGAGGCGCCTGGAGAGAGAGCAATAAAGAGAGAGAGAGCAATAAAGAGAGAGAGAGGCAGAGAGAGAGCGAGACAGAGAGAGAGAGGCAGAGAGAGGCAGAGAGAGAGACAGAGAGAGAGAGGCAGAGAGAGAGAGAGAGAGAGAGAGAGCGAGAGAGAGAGAGAGAGAGACAGAGAGAGAAAGGCAGAGAGAGAGAGAGAGAGAGAGAGAGAGAGAGAGAGAGAGAGAGCGAGAGAGAGAGAGAGCAGCTCTCCAGCTGCTACAGGATGACAGGACTTCTCTGTCTACAGTGGGGAAAAAAAGTATTTAGTCAGCCACCAATTGTGCAAGTTCTCCCACTTAAAAAGATGAGGGAGGCCTGTAATTTTCATCATAGGTACACGTCAACTATGACAGACAAATGAGATTTTCTTTCTCCAGAAAATCACATTGTAGGATTTTTAATGAATTTATTTGCAAATTATGGTGGAAAATAAGTATTTGATCAATAACAAAAGTTTCTCAATACTTTGTTATATACCCTTTGTTGGCAATGACACAGGTCAAATGTTTTCTGTAAGTCTTCACAAGGTTTTCACACACTGTTGATGGTATTTTGGCCCATTCCTCCATGCAGATCACCTCTAGAGCAGTGATATTTTGGGGCTGTCGCTGGGCAACACAGACTTTCAACTCCCTCCAAAGATTGTCTATGGGGTTGAGATCTGGAGACTGGCTAGGCCACTCCAGGACCTTGAAATGCTTCTTACGAAGCCACTCCTTCGTTGCCCGGGCGGTGTGTTTGGGATCATTGTCATGCTGAAAGACCCAGCCACGTTTCATCTTCAATGCCCTTGCTGATGGAAGGAGGTTTTCACTCAAAATCTCACGATACATGGCCCCATTCATTCTTTCCTTTACACGGATCAGTCATCCTGGTCCCTTTGCAGAAAAACAGCCCCAAAGCATGATGTTTCCACCCCCATGCTTCACAGTAGGTATGGTGTTCTTTGGATGCAACTCAGCATTCTTTGTCCTCCAAACACGACGAGTTGAGTTTTTACCAAAAAGTTCTATTTTGGTTTCATCTGACAATATGACATGCTCACCGTTCTTGTGATCATTTTGACCCCACGGGGTGAGATCTTGCGTGGAGCCCCAGATCGAGGGAGATTATCAGTGGTCTTGTATGTCTTCCATTTCCTAATAATTGCTCCCACAGTTGATTTCTTGAAACCAAGCTGCTTACCTATTGCAGATTCAGTCTTCCCAGCCTGGTGCAGGTCTACAATTTTGTTTCTGGTGTCCTTTGACAGCTCTTTGGTCTTGGCCATAGTGGAGTTTGGAGTGTGACTGTTTGAGGTTGTGGACAGGTGTCTTATATACTGATAACAAGTTCAAACAGGTGCCATTAATACAGGTAACGAGTGGAGGACAGAGGAGCCTCTTAAAGAAGAAGTTACAGGTCTGTGAGAGCCAGAAATATTGCTTGTTTGTAGGTTACCAAATACTTATTTTCCACCATAATTTGCAAATAAATTCATTAAAAATCCTACAATGTGATTTTCTGGAGAAAAAAAAATCTCAATTTGTCTGTCATAGTTGATGTGTACCTATGATGAAAATGACAGGCCTCTCTCATCTTTTTAAGTGGGAGAACTTGCACAATTGGTGGCTGACTAAATACTTTTTTTCTCCACTGTACATACGAACACACACACTGACGTCACACACACACACACACACACACACACAAACACACACACACACACACACACACACACACACACACACACAACACACACAGAGACACACACACACACAGACACACACACGTGCCCAAGCAGTGTTGCGTTATGTGGTTGCATCACTTATTTTTCCCAGACCAGATGCAGTCAGTCAGGATGCAGCTCCGGGCATCTTTTCATCTTTTCACGCATCACAATTAGTTGTCTATTTTCTCTCAGTCGACATGCAGGCAAAGAACAATCAAATCTCATTCTGCATGTCAAGCAGCGTTTGTGTCTGTGTTTTTTATAACAGTCTCTGTGCTTTCAACCATCTAAAATCACAACCAAATTCAAATGTAAAAACCATGTCTGATTTTTTGGTTTAGTTGTCATCTAAATGTGTTATCAATGTGCTTTTAACCATTTAAAATCACAACAAAATTCAAATGGGAATACAATGACAGATATTTTGTATGTATACAACAACTTAATGTGTTATCACTGTGATTCATCTAATAGCAGAACCAAATGACCTGGATTGAAGTTGATATTAGATAAAAAATGCATAGTGTAATGACCAATGCCATTCGAGATTCTGCACAGATTATTACAGTAATTGTGAAGATCTTCACAGACCTTCGACCCTTGCATGCTATCTTGAACATGCACACTTTCTATGATTACATAAGAAGACATTTATAGTTACACTAACCTCAAAATGTGGCCATGGATGTGATACTTATTTTAAGGTTGAATAAATACTGTTACAATAATTTGTAAGATAGCCTTAACTTTAAGCTATTTACTGTATCAAAAGTATTATTGAATTGTGTTTGGTCGACAACACAACCAAATATCATCATTTAAAGAATCTGTAATGCTTGAATAGTTTCATCTGAGCCACTGGCTTAATCCTCCTCTTTAACTTTTATTGTTGGTTTAGTTGGAGGCGTGAATCCAACATATAATTTGTTAACTTGTCGAACTAGTTAATAGGCTATTTAATGTATTGCAAAGTGATATTTAATTGTTTTTGGTTGTCAATGCAACCAAATAGAAATATTTGAAGGAGATGTATCTTTTGTGCCACTGATTTAGTCTGCTTTATTTCCCGTTTGTCTACAAATTAATCATTTACAGTTCCTTGCAAAAGTATTTGTTCCCCTTGGCATTTTTCCTATTTTGTTGCATTACAACCTGTAATTTAAATGAATTTTTTGGGGGATTTCATGTAATGGACATACACAAAATAGTCCAAATTGGTGAAGTGAAATGAAAAAAATAACTTGTTTCAAAAAATTCTAAAAGAAAAGATAACTGAAAAGTGGAGCGTGCATATGTTTTCACCCCCTTTGCTATGAAGCCCCTAAATAAGATCTGGTGCAATCAATTACCTTCAGAAGTCACATAGTTAGTTAAATAAAGTCCACCTGTGTGCAATCAAAGTGTCACATGATCTGTCACATGATCTCAGTATATATACACCTGTTCTGAAAGGCCCCAGAGTCTGCAACACCACTAAGCAAGGGGCACCACCAAGCAAGTGGCACCATGAAGACCAAGGAGCTCTCCAAACAGGTCAGGGACAAAGTTGTGGAGAAGTACAGATCAGGGTTGGGTTATAAAAAAATATCTGAAACTTTGAACATCCCACGGAGCACCATTAAATCCATTATTAAAAAATTGAAAGAATATGGCACCACAACAAACCTGCCAAGAGAGGGCCACCCACCAAAACTCACGGACCAGGCAAGGAGGGCATTAATCAGAGAGGCAACAAATAGACCAAAGATAACCCTGAAGGAGCTGCAAAGCTCCACAGCGGAGATTGGAGTATCTGTCCATAGGACCACTTTAAGCCGTACACTCCACAGAGCTGGGCTTTACGGAACAGTGCCAGAAAAAAAGCCATTGCCTAAAGAAAAAAATAAGCAAACATGTTTGGTGTTCGCCAAAAGCAATGTGGGAGACTCCCCAAACATATGGAAGAAGGTACTCTGGTCAGATGAGACTAACATTGAGCTTTTTGGCCATCAAGGAAAACGCTATGTCTGGCGCAAACCCAGCACCTCTCATCACCCCGAGAACACCATCCCCACAGTGAAGCATGGTGGTGGCAGCATTATGCTGTGGGGATGTTTTTCATTGGCAGGGACTGGGAAACTGGTCAGAATTGAAGGAATGATGGATGCCGCTAAATAAAGGGAAATTGTTGAGGGAAACCTGTTTCAGTCTTCCAGAAATTTGAGACTGGGACAGAGGTTCACCTTCCAGCAGGACAATGACCCTAAGCATACTACTAAAGCAACACTTGAGTGGTTTAAGGGGAAACATTAAAATGTATTGGAATGGCCTAGTCAAAGCCCAGACCTCAATCCAATTGAGAATCTGTGGTATGACTTAAAGATTGCTGTACACCAGCGGAAACCATCCAACTTGAAGGAGCTGGCGCAGAATGGGCAAAAATCCCAGCGGCTAGATGTGCCAAGCTTATAGAGACATACCCCAAGAGATTTGCAGCTGTAATTGCTGCAAAAGGTGTCTGTACAAAGTATTGACTTTGGGGTGGTGAATAGTTATGCACGCTCAAGTTTTTTTAATTTATTTATATTTTTTGTATAATATTTTGCATCATCGAAGTGATAGCCATGTTGTGTAAATCAAATGATACAAAC